TCGGAAGTAATACAATAAAATGTGTCGGAAGTGCACATCCTGTTCTTTCATTTTTAAATTGGGATAAAAACAAAACTAAAGAACGAAACAAAAAATTTTTTTTCTAATTAACCTAGAAGCCCATACAGTAAGAAAAAAATATAGGTTAGATGCTCTGGCCACATTAACAAAACAAAAGAAAGTATAGAGTGAATCTGTCAACAAAAACGGCAATGAATTAGTTGCCAACGCAATATGCCGTGCTTGCTTATTAGGTATATTGAATGACCATTATTTCAAAAATTCACAAATGAGTTGAACGTAGTTACATATTGATGAAAGTCTCTTAAAGTTGCTATTTTAAGTTGATTGGTACACAGAAATCCGTGTGTCGTGAAATACCATCGAAGCATATCAATGAATGAACTAGATATGAATAATCTACTGTTCGAATTTGTGGTTCACTTATTAATGATCAAACAGCAAATCGATGTTCTCGAATTCAAATAAAGTACAAGTTTACATGTCCTAATCTGATTAATCACGCATTGTTTATCACATTCACCTTTTCTATCTTATTCAATCCATTTTCCTCTTGTTTATTCATCATTGTTTAACAGTTTAAAATTTAATAAATGTGCCATGGACAATGTGCGCAATACTGAATTATTCAAATGATAAGATTTGCTGAAATCAATCTCATGCACTTATAGTGGCGTGTAAACATGATCAGGAAACTGAACTTTGACAAATTTAATTACATGGGATAATTATACCGACTTGTTCGTGCTATATCTGATATGGTAAATAATGCCAATAATATCTATTTTTAGGAAATAAATCGGCTTCAGATTCCTTTACATGATCATGTATTTGATATCTGCATAAATGTTATAGTGAAGTCGATGTAAACTTGTTCCCGTTAAATGAAGAAGGTTCAAGAGATTTGTTTTTTGTCTCCTGAGATTATTCTCTTGGAGACATGACGTGTGGATCTACTTCATCTTTTACGGAAATTTCCATATTAAAAATTTAAACATGGAGACTTTGTTTTCACGGTTCTCTTACCTTAAAACTACCACTGAGTTATTACTTTTCAATGTGAAATAAAAGTAAAGATTGCACGAAATTTTAACTAAGATAATTTAAATTTTAAGACTTCCCCAGAATGAAAAAACAACACTTTCTGTCCACAATCTTTACAAATAAATAAACTCATATTTTTAAGTAAATGATTAAATTTCTGTAAAGCTGAATTCCAATTAAAACATACCTTTTTTCATTTCATAAAAATGGCAGGAAAACGTATTTTATCCCTGCGAGTAATCTAGACAAATTTATTGCCGTGATATGATAATATATTGAGATAACAGTAAGATGCTACTTATCTTATTAACTATTTATTACTCCTCACTTTTATTTTCGAGTTGGAAGACTAGGGCGTGATTACAATTGGATAATTTATGAATTCTTGAACACCAATCAAATGAACTGCCCATTACATGAATATTCTAAAATTTAGGCGAGATAGCCAAATTTCAGTAAATTAAAAACCCTTCCTCTTAATCCCTTTTAAACTTTTCTGAAAGGTCTTCAGTCATTTCCTCCCAGTGAACAAATGTGCGGTTTTAGTGTCACGAGGAGACATATGTTATTAGTGATTTTCCTCTAGCTCATGCTTCTCGAGTTTCGCTTTGTGATTTCAATTTTTTCCATGTTCTCATATTTTGATTTTTTAGAGATAAAGAGAGCGTACACCCCCTTCAATCTAAGAGAAGATGACAACCTTCCACAAAAGTCCAATTAAAATAATTAAAGAGTTTACTGTTATTTAATTAATAGGCAGATTTTCAAATAGTACGCAAATAGATAATATTTCAGTGGTAAATATTTGGCCAAATTTAATAAATACTCAAATTTTCAACGAAGACAAGAGAGCAGCATTTCAGTCTAAAGTACTCAAATTATGATTTAGCCCTTGGAAGGTTTGATGATTGTAATCGAGAATAATGATAAAACTTCTTTCCACACTTCGGGGTGTACAACAGACTTACCTCCACTTGGTGTTCCATGGGCAGCGTATACTCAAACAACAAAAAAGTTTTTAACTCGGCAGGTGACTTCAAACTATTATGATCAGTTTTAAACGAACTAAAATAAGAGAAATTGTCCTTGTCATGGTGAATCACAGCTTCTACAGATCATTCAGTGGAATACTGGAGGGATGTCACAAGACGAGACGATCCGAATTCAGAAATCCTGCATACCCATGATATAGGCATATTTGCAATAATGGAAGCCAACCTTACGGATGACAAACTCAAATACTAACAATTCCCAGGTTACACCTTATATCTCCTACCTAATGGTCGGCAAGTTGCAAGTGGAATTCTGACTGGAGTAAAAGAAGGCCTTACCTAAAACTACGATCTAATCAAGAGTATTGGCACGACTCAAGAAATATGCGAGATAATATTTGGAAATGTCAAAAACACTTCAAGATATATGCGGTCTATAATCCACGCCAGAATAGGCCCAGCTTTGATCTTCTGAACATCTCACACAAAACTGTAGTATTTGGAGGCTTCAACGATATAAGAACATCAACACTGATGGGAAGGAAGCCGCAGACATGCTTAAAAACTTATTTACAGCATTGAGGATTCTGCTACATATTCGTACTACAATGGAATCAGAACAACTCCTGACTTGCTCCTGGCTTCAAGCGACATCAGTGAGCATACACACCGCAAAATTATTGACGATCCTGGTTCTGGTCACAAGCCACTCATTGCTAGTGTAACCATCGAAAGCAATCGCATGACACCGAAAATGCTAACCAAGCTGTCATGGAACTCCAAGAAGGTCGACGGCCTAGATTCACAAACCTTTTAAAAAACGAACTTCACGCAAGTCCCGTCAACTATACCACTACCGTGACAAGCTGTGCAACAATATCACCACTATTCTAATCAGATGTGAAAAGAAATCTATTCGCCGTGTCAAAGCCAAACACTATGGAGTGTTCTGGTCTAAAACATGGAGGAACTGAAAATAGTGAGAAGTCCTACGCAACACTGCTGAATACATTGAAAAATGGAAGACGTACAAGCTTCGAGACGGCAATCAGCTGTCCTAAGCCAAGCCATCTTACAAGCCAAACGGACCACCTTCGACAACTTCATCTCAAATATCAACCAACAAAATGATAGTCATCGCACATTCGAATTCCTAGATAACCTCCAAAACAACAAGGAAAGATCCAAGAAAAAACTAATATGCTTAAACAACTGACTGCTTACTACGGACTCCAAAATAGCTAACTTTTCTGTGAGGATCTATTCCCATAAGTAAAAAACCCTTTTGTCAGAAACTCTTCAAGAGATATAGAAAAACAAGTAACAAAGGTTTTTTTGAAATCTAGGAAGACACGGCAATACCACACAATGTGTTTACTGAACCATTCAGTTCACACAAACTTAATAGTAATATCAATACTAAAAAAGGGCAAAGATCCTATCAACTTTGGCAAATATATGCCTATCTTCCTTACAAGCATGGTGGCTAAACTTATGGAAAGAATGGTTAACAGGAGGCTCCTGAAACCAACAACATTCTTAACAACGAGCAAGCAGGTTTTAGGCCACAAAGATCTATAAACCAATAAGTAGAGACTCTCACAGCATATCAAAGATGTCCTTGATGCTAGAAATACACTCACACAGTTGTATCCATCGATTTCAGATCAGCATATGACTTGGTATAGAAAAAGAACTTAATTCTAAAATTTGCGAAGATCATTATAAAACGTAACGTGGTCAACTGGATAAAAGTATTCAGTAAATAGAGATCATGCAAAGTCAGACATGGAAACGATCTGTCCAAGTCTAATCTTTTACAAACAGGCCTACCACAAGGAGTTGTCACAAACGGCTCTCTTTTCAATGTGCTCATCAGTGACATTGATGAACTGGTGCAGACAGGCACGGGCATCAAGTGCTTAGTTTACACCGACGATCTTGTTCTATGGTATTCCTCCCCCAGGAAGAAAGCTAAGGAGAAGACGAAATGTGGTATAAATTATGCGGCAACAAAGGAATGGCTATCAACACCTCAAAAATCGCATTTCAAACATTTTAATTGGCCCACCATAGCATAAATCCGCATTTATTGTACCATGATATTTCTCTAGAAATAACTAACGAGTTCACTTATCTAGGAGTGACGTTTGACATAAAACTAACATGGAAAAACCACATTGCCAAAATAGAAGAACGAGTCTTCAATAGACTGAACTTACTGAAGAGTCTCACTGGTAGAATATGGGGCTGTGCACGCTCAATCCTAAACATCACTTACATGTTTGTTCAACCAATAATGTTGTATTGCTGTAAGCCACTCATTACAGCCTCTGAGGTGTTTCTCAAATCACTCGAGAAGATGCTCAACTAGGCATTACGACCAATTACTGGAGAGATAAAATCAACATTCATTGACGCAACGCTCCTGATTACAGGGAACACCACAAAACGTTCCTTTATCAAAAATAAGGCATTGACACTGTATGAGAAGCTACTGCGCATTCTCATGGACAAATTCTTCAGCACCTACGAAAAATAGCAAGACACCCAAAACTGGAGCTGACCTAATACAGAAAGCCATAGAACTGAAGAAAACACTACAAAATTGATGACAAACCAAAAAGTCTCTCTCTACTCATGAACCCATTAGCAGACACTGATGTAGTTCTCTCCCCATGAACCCATTAGCAGACATTGATGTAGTGTTTTGCACCCAACTGCGTCTTCAGGAAATCAAACACTCCTCCAGAGCAAATGCGCTCCCCTCACGCACCCAACTGCTCGACTTCTTCAGGATGTAGTGTGTTGCACCCAACTGCTCGACTTCTTCAGGAAATCGCACCCAACTGCTCGACTTCTTCAGGAAATCAAACATCAGAGCAAATGCACTCATTTTTCAGGAAATCACTAGACAATCAATGTCAACTATCCTGCAGATCAATGGCTCCAGTGATGTTAACTATCCTGCAGATCAATGGCTCCAAGTCTTCACGGAAAGCCAAGGAAACGTTGGTGCAGGTGTCTATTCTGAACTCTTCTCATCAATGGCCCCTAGTCATTACTGATGGGTCATACATAGAAAACCAAGCAAACGTTGGTGCAGGTGTCTATTCTGAACTCTTATCTTTTTACGCAGCAACGGGACACAATAGATCTCCTTTCGAAGGAGAGATAGAGGCCATTAGGATAGCACTATGCCAATTATGTTGCCTGGATACGAAATTCACCAAAGCAGTACTTCTTTCGGACTTACAGTCAGCAATAAACTCAATCGGAAGCAGAGAACCACCCAAAACAGCATAGATGCACAAAGGTACAAACCCTATCAGTTACTGAGAGTAAAAAACAAAACAAAAGTTATTCAATGGATCCCTGGACACTGATGAATTATGGAGAATGAGCACGCTGACTCACTTGCTAAGAAGGGGACTACTATTTTGCAAGGCATAGATCTTCCGATGTCATTCCACACAATGAAGACCTTAATAAGGATAGAATTAAAGACTTTGAGGTGCAACGAACTTAAACGCCGAACGAAGGAGAAGCAGTGGACGATGGAACTCTCTAACATATCCGACTGGCCAAGAATCGAAGCTGTTGCAGAGTTTAGACTGCCTACCGGACACCATTGTCTGGCGAAGTGCTTTCACAGAAAAGGCGTTTACGCTCAACCAACATGCCCCCTTGTGGCCTAAAGGAGGAAACGGGGAAGACCCACCTGTTTCAGTGTTCCGCCCTAAAGACAAAGACGGAAACCCAGAGATACTGGGAAGCCAGAAGTCAACTAATGAGCTACTGTTAACCATCCTAAAGCCTATATATATATATATATATATATATGTTTCTCCCCCTCCCCTCGGGAAGGCCAAAATCAACTAAGGGGTTAATGATGAACACCATAAACCCTGCCATTTCGAGGGCTATTTAAATGAGATATCTTTCAAGACGAGATTTAAACCTACTTGACAACTTATTACTAATTTCACTAAATTATCATTTTGTTATTATATGTAAAGTCACTATTGGAGACGTTTTTCAAGTTTTATCTAAGTCGAATTTTTTTTAACAATAAAAACAGTTGCCAATGAAGGTGTTGAACGGTTTGTGATTTCAGAAACTTTAAAACTTTTCAAATTTTGTCATCAATTTTCTGCTCTATAAATTAAATAAAAGCTCTAGGTTTAAAAGATGTCAATAAGAATTTCCAACTTCCTTAAAAATTAACTTTTTTTTTGAAAACGTAATCATAATTCATTTCTTTACTTACAGTGTCTTCCCAAACACAGCAGTTTCCAGATATATTTATTTATTTATATCAAATGGCAGGCATATTGATAGCCATCATTAGCCCTTTAGTTGACTTCAGACCTCACAGAGGGGAAGGAACATCAAAGTGAAAAAAGTCGTGAGAGGGGGGGGACAGAAGAGTATTTCAAAGATGTAAAAGAGACAGACACAAAAGTAGAAAAAGGTAAGATGAGTACTGTTGAAGTGGTCGAATTTAACATACAGTGGGGTCATGGTAGTTTGATGTCAGAAGTCAACTGCCGAATAATTGACCTTTTAGTCGTATGAGTATACGTTGCCCAGGATACACCACGTGGAGATAAGTCTATCGCACACCTCAGTCTCCAGATATAGAACTGAACTTGTGAAAAATTTATATTCGCTAATTCGTTTCAGCAAAATTTATTTGAAATTCTTCTATTATTTACAGCTAAAGCGGCCTTCAAAAGGAAAATATTCTTCTTAAATAATATCCACTTGATGCGAATTATAGTTTCCAATTATTCCAAATCCATATCAAACCGGACATCAACTTACCCAACTAGTAAGTGTTAAAATAGCGAACCACGCAGTTGATACACAGGTATTTGAGTTTAATATGTACTTAGACAAGGCGAAAGAAACAATTCTGAAAGTTTTTCTTAGCAGTCAAATTGTTCAGCATTATTTCTGAGGCAATAAATGCACATACTTGTCAAGGGAAAAATGTCTTACCCCCTGGCCGATGGAGAGCACATAAGAAATTGTAGGGTGCTTTTCTTTCATTGAGGCTACCTAAAGGCAGTACTGGATTGGAATTTGGTTGGCACAACATCAATTATCCCCAGTATAGGTAAGACAAGAGGAGAAACACTTGTATTTCGTTGTTGTCACGACAGAAAATTCCTTCTATTCTGCATCGCCTTCTTACAGAGGACGAGAGGCCTTTCGTTTGCATCAATATTAGTATAAAACGAATCGTTTACCCTCATCACCCACTGCATTAATTGAGCCTACCCAGGGTTTGACCCGTGAAAAATATATTCGTACTCCTTTTGTGTGATTATATTTGAATTGTGGAATAAATCATTATGGATAGCTAAAAACAACTGAAATGGGTATATCTCAAGTTGATTGTTGCCAACCAATTGGAAAACCGAAAGAATTAAAAGCGAGCTTCCAAGTTGCCTTTTACAGGAATGTGGCAATTTACCTATCAACCTGACAATTCTCTATTGCCCCACCCTTGCCCTCCTCCCCCCCCCC